TTTGTCTCATTATGATCCGCGTACTAGTCAATGTGAAGATGAGATCCTGAAGATTCTTCATCTTCAGAATACAGTACATTTACTTCCGGATAAATTCACTGATAACCAGAAGATTATCAGATCACACGTCCCTGCTGTCAACACGCCATCTAGGATTGACATCCCCAAAGATGGATGCAATCCGCCGGCAGCAGAAACGGCTGTACCTCAATTGAAAAGAGGACGCCCACCAGGTTCGAAGGACAAAGTCCCTCGTAAAAGAAAAAATCCTGGAGAAATAAAGATGAACCCAACACAGGATACTGAGCTCAGACCAGCTTCCTCTCCACTCCTAGATTCCCTTGAAGAGGAACAAATAGGAGAAACATCATTAAATTTTGTACGTACTGAGGAGGTACTGGACAGAAAAAGCACAGTCGTCGACGACGACTTTGCGTTCGATATTGCCATTCATGTTACTGAATACGACGATGACATCGAATCACGGTCTCTAGCGGAATGTAAACGCAGAGATGATTGGCCAAAGTGGAACGAGGCAATAGGAGTAGAGCTGGACTCACTCTTGAAACGCGAAGTCTTTGGACCAGTAGTCCAAACACCTAAAGGTGTAAAACCTGTGGGATATAAGTGGGTCTTCATCAGAAAAAGAAATGAACACAACGAGGTTGTGCGCTACAAAGCACGGCTTGTAGCACAAGGTTTTTCCCAAAGACCGGGAATAGACTATGAAAAAACATATTCTCCGGTTATGGATGGGAATACCTTCCGATTCCTAATAAGCCTCTCATCTCTGGAAGGCCTAGAAATGCAGCTCATGGACGTTGTGACTGCATATCTATATGGCAATATAGATAAAGATATCTATATGAAACTCCCTGAAGGATATAAAATTCCACCAGAGATAGCAGATAGACCTCGGGACGTCTATTCTGTTAGGCTTCAAAGATCATTATATGGTCTTAAGCAATCGGGGAAAATGTGGTATAACAGACTAAGTGAGTTCCTTGCTACGCAAGGATTCACAAATGATAAAGTCTGCCCGTGTATCTTTATAAAAAGATCGGGAACAGGATTCATTATAGTCGCCGTCTATGTCGACGACTTAAATCTCATTGGATCTCCTGCAGAGATAGCTGGGATATCTGAAAGCCTTAAGAATACTTTTGAAATGAAAGACCTAGGCAAAACAAAGTATTGTCTTGGCTTACAGATCGAACACCTTAAGGGTGGTATCCTGTTACACCAATCCACATACACACGGAAATTACTTAAAAAATTCCGAATGGATAAATGTCATCCTCTTAATACACCAATGGTTGTTCGATCATTGGATGTAAAGAACGACCCCTTCCGTCCGCTGGAAGAGGGGGAGGAAATGCTAGGTCCTGAAGTACCTTACCTCAGTGCCATTGGAGCACTACTATATCTGGCTAACTGTACGCGTCCCGATATAGCGTTTTCAGTTAACCTACTAGCCAGATACAGTGCAACGCCCACAAAGCGCCACTGGAATGGAGTTAAGCATCTTCTGCGCTACCTCCAAGGGTCTATAGACCTGAGATTATATTTCCCGAAGGGTGGGTCTCCCACCTTAATTGGTTATTCATATGCAGGTTACAGTTCTGATCCCCACACCGAGAAATCACAAACCGGATTTGTGTTTACATTCGGTGGTACGGTCATCTCCTGGAGGTCTGTCAAGCAAACCACTATAGCAATCTCATCCAATCATTCCGAACTCCTCGCGATCCATGAAACCAGCAAAGAATGTGTTTGGCTTCGTTCTGTCATTCAGCACATCTTAGTGTCTACCGGCCTGAAGACTGGTGACCTTGAGCCAACTACTATATTTGAAGACAATGCAGCCTGCGTTGCTCAACTTCAGTCTGGCTTCATCAAGGGGGACAAGACGAAGCACATATCTCCCAAGTTTTTCTGGACGCACGATCTTCAAGAGGAGGAGCAAGTTAAAGTACAGCAGATCCAATCATGTAATAATTTAGCTGACTTGTTCACTAAGGCTCTGCCTAGATGTACTTTTGTAAAACTTGTAAAAGGAATAGGGATGAGACATCTGAAAGACCTACAAGCCTGAAGCTTGTATGGTTCAGGGGGAGTAACCTATGGGTTGTACTCTTTTTCCTTAGGCTGATAGTTTTTTCCCACTGGGTTTTCCACAGCTAAGGTTTTAACGAGGCAAACAAGTTTACTCTGGATCCAGAAGTATCCACCCCATTAGCTTTACGAACCCTGAAGTGTTCATAAGCTAAACTCAAGGTAATGGATGGATAAGGGGGAGTATTATGAGATGAGGGAGGCCTTTGGCCTCCCTCTCATTATCCCTCCATTCACACCCCATTATGGTGATGTAACACCCCATTAAGTGAGGGTGACTCTTGGGTACTCAACCTATTCACATTGATTAGTATAAATATATATCATAGGCTTTTGGCCTATATACTTGCTTTAAACAGCTTCTTCTTTTTCATGTTAATTTTGATTTAAAGAGAGGAGGGTTAAGGAGAAAGTTAACTTAGTTGACCATTCATGAGGGGTTAAAAATAATTTAGTTTTGTTTGGATTAGATAGTTAATAGATAAAAAAATTTGTGTTTGGTAAAAACACAGAAAGGTTACAAAGGTTAATCCGGCCTCTATTTATTTCAAAAGTTCAAACTCTAATCTTATTAAAGTAAAAAATCTTTTGATTAATCAATATCTAAACAAAAATTTTGCTATTAAAGAACAAAAATAATAATTTTCTTAAGTAAGGCTAAATAAATTTTTGATAGATATAAATTATAGCAAAAGTACTCCAATGTGAATTTTAAGAAACAGATAATGATCAGCTTTATATGATGATCTCTAGGAAAGAAAAGACAAAGGTCTCACCATCCAAATATTTCCATCCACTAAACATTTAAAATGACTTCTCTCTTGCCTCTGTTTGAGGAGGCGGAGCAAGAATTTATACTCTGCCTCCTCAAACGGAGTTGTAAACGCTTTAGATATTTTTTGTTATTTGGAAGGCTAGGAAGGAGTTAAACCCCCTCAATCCCTTCACTAGTCTATCACAAAATGGGGCAACAGAATAAAACACTAGCTGATATAATCACCTAAGATACTTCTCAACAATCTTAAAATTTTATAAACTCTCTAAAGAAGGGTAATTTACATGTTTACGATTGTTTTAATTTTGTGTAATTTTGTTATTCAAATGCCTTAAAATCCATATTTTTGGCTTTTATTACGTATATGCGGTTGCAGGCGATCCTCGAAAGTGAAGTTTTTTTTATTTAAATCGAAGTTTATTAATATTGTAGCTTCCTAGTAGAAATCGATGATTTTTTTTAATGGTCAGAAATCGATGAGTTTAACTGCATTATAAATGTCAATGGGGTTTGTTTAAATATTAAAGTTGGTCAGGTGTTACCTCCTAAGATACTTCATTTAACTTTTTCTTGTATCCAAATAATATTTGTCTACTTTGGAGGTATATGTATTAATTAATGTAAATAATGCAAGAAATATGGCCAAATCAAAAGTTATTACTCTTGAAAAGTGAACTAAATGGATCCCTAAACCCCCGTTCGACAATATCTTTGGTGAGATGTTGAATTGAGAAAGAGAAAAGCTTGGATATGCGGGATTAATTAATTAATTAATTACTTTTTTTTTGGTCTCATGACATGGTTTTGTATGATATCTTAATGAATTATAGAAAATCAAGGAGGCTTGTTTTCATGGTTGACCACCTTTTTGATGAACCTGAACTTCTATTAGAAAATGAAAGGCACCAAGAACCAACTTATAGGAACATTATCAAGCACGTAAATCTAGTGGTTGGGGCTTGGGCTTGGGGTATTGGCTCGAAAGGCCAGGATTGATTCGTATTTATGGTATGTATGTCCCCAATTTCTAATTATTAAGAATTTTAATAAAAAATGACTTAAGAACCCAAAATATAGGACCAATGGAGGGGACAGGTGAGGTGTCTCCTCCCTATTGCATAATGAGGCATGAATTGGCATGGCCAACTCATTATGCAATAGGGAGGGGACACCTCACTTGTCCCCTCTATTGGTCTCATATTTTGGGTCCCCGTAGCAGCACTCAATTGTAATACTTCTGCAATTCACTTGACTTGGACTGTTAAAGGGGGTCCAAGACCTCGGGGTTTACTTCGCTAGTACAAAACCAAGGTTCCTCGCGCCAAGAAAAACACATAGACCTCTCATAATATCGTTGTTTTGAACTTACTGCCCAATAGTTTCACTTTGGCAAATAGGCCCTCCGTGTTGTTAAGTATAGAGCTTTTGTAAGAAAATGAATAATTTTCTTCATTGCATTAAGGTGTTTACATACAAAAGAAAATATAGTTTTTCTAATATCCTAAGAAATGTGGGACTCATGAAAGAAGGGTTAATTGTGACAGACCCCGTATAGTATTACCCAATAGCAAAGAGACCCCATGTAGTTCTATTTGTTGCGAATAGACACTTTATAGTTCTACTTGTTGCGAATAGACCCCATGAGTGAAATTTTTTCACTCTTAAAATCGTTAAAAACATACATGAGGCGGATAGACCCTCTATAGTTCTATTGGTGAGGATAGACACCCCATTGTTTTTTTTCCTTATGTTTTTACCTTTAAAGGGGTTGAAATAGTTCACTAAGGGGTGTATTCACACTTGGGCCAATACTATAAGGGGTCTATTCGTGACAAGTAGAACTACAGTGGGTCTATTGATAACAAATAGAACTACAAGGGATCTATTTGCAATTAGGTGATACTACAAGGGGTCTATTCACAATTAACCTGTAAAAGAATAGAGTGCAGGATTACATACGTACAATGTTTAGCATGGGTGAAATTATTTGGACTCTCTAGGTTAAATTATTTTGACTTTTCTTGCCACGAGTGAAATATTGGCAAATATTGCTTGTGGGTGAAATTAGTAAGTATATTTGAGGGTAAAAGAGTCAAGAAAAACATCCAGTGATTTATATGCTGAATAAAACTACAGCAGCAATAAGTTTAAAACAGTGAGCAGACTTTTAATATATTCGAAATCAAAATCAATATTTGTGTCCCCTTCCTACAAGATTTATTTCCAGGAAAGCAAAGGTTTCATTAGAAGATGGGTCTTCTATCCAAAAGATCTACCTCCTCTTCAAGTCGGGAAATTGTATTGACATTTCTTCTAAGAAAAGCCTGTAGATAATAAAAAATTGAATAAAAAAAGATTAAAAGTATGAAATTTTTGTAGAAGAATTAGTAGAATTGCAGTGAAAAGTATCTCGTAGTAAGCATAAAACTTTAACAATACTTATGCAACAGACAACAAATGGTAACATGATCAAGGAACAGACTGATACCGCGTGCCTTTATTTCTAAATTGATTTTTTACTAAAAAATATTGAGCTTTTACCAAGAAATGAATATCTAATATGGAAAATGACTCCCATTGGACATCTACAAGTTCATAATCACCCAACAAACATCTCCAAATAATACATCAAGTTGAATGCATTAAGTCTCTGTAAATAATGATATCAGACAAGCAACTGCCATATAAATCATGGACTAGTACAAACAGGAATCAGCTCTCTTAGCACAATAACTCTTGATATCTAGGCTTATGTTTTAAACAAAGTCAACTATCTGACATTGGTCAGAATTTCTTCTGTCTAGCTGACACCAACAAATAACTCTTATTACAGAACTGTCGAAGACTTGTTATCATAGCTACTGAATGGATTATTTCCACAGTGTGATTTAATGTTAATCTCATAGATTATTCAGCAGTGTAGATTGTCTTAAGATATGTTTTAACATGTTTTTCAAAAACGAGAGTACACCAAGATCAAAATTTGCATTGCTAAGAACATCAATTCAGTGAGACAATGCCTTGAATTATACCTCGAAGTTTGACTCCCACTGCGATGCTTGCGTGATTTGCGATGAAATTAAGCATATGCTCCAATAAGGCAGAAGCACGCGCACAACTGAGCATTAACCTTCCGTTTCTAACTTCTGAATCCTGACCAATGGAAGAGTAAACATAAGTAAATTGGAGAGAACTTTAGGCATGTCTGACGACATCCTTGCTCTCTGTTATCCAAATGCTTAAATACAGGACTTTGTGAAGTATCCATGATGCTTGAAGTTCTTGACAAAAGTATTTAAGTAACGTACAAAGCAAAGAGTCTTCCAGATTCAACCTCGGAAAATAATGTAGGCTGCAAACTTTTCTTGGATTTGGATTCTTCTATGGACACCTATAAGGATTCATATGCACAAAAATATAGGTTCTTGTGCCATAATAAGCATGCTTGATGCACTTGTCCTCCATTAGATTACATCCCTTCTCCAAAACAAGGCATAAAGAGCATCAACCTCAAACCCTTAAAAGTTTTACTACCCTCGTCATGTTCTACGTTACCACAAATCGCCACAAGAGCAATTTCCACCCTTAAAATGGTGGAATCTATTGGCATCTCTAACAACAAACACTCTCCCGACTTCTTCACTAATCATCTTCAGCACCATATGACAATCCCCACAAACTCGAAGATTCTTCAGCACTCTAATTATCGAGCCCGGAACTAACTTTACAAGCCCAAATGCAACAGCCAACTTCTCGCTATGCAAACAAAGGTGCTGCATCTTTTCTTGCTCATCTAAATCATGCATCACTGAGCTCTTATCTGGAACGTGGCCTCTCTTCCTCATCTCTGCCCTCAACTTTTCGAGCAATCCTAAAATCTCATTGGTCATTTGATGTGGCACTTCACCACCCCCAAGTATCAAACTTTTCTTTCCTATCTCAATCCAACTGTATCCACCGTAGCCTCTCTCTCTTAATCTCCATCTCAACCGTTAACTTCCTTACATTCACAACGGAATCCCACATTTGCAAAACAGCATAAACATTAGACAGCAGTATATATATGTAGAAGGGTCATTTGACCTTAGGCCCAACAAATGATCGGAGAACTTCAGGCTCATACCTTTATTCCCATGCTTCTTACATGCACTTAACAAAGCTCCCCAACTAGCCTCATCAGGATCACAAGGCATCTTCTTAATAACTCTGCTGTTGATCAGAATTGTTTTTGTCTAGGCAACTCCAACAAATAACTATTATTACAGAACTGACGAAGAACTATTTCCATAACTACTGAAGGGCCTTTTTTTGCTATGTGATTCAATGTTAAGCCCATAGATTGTTCAGCAGTAGAGACTGCCTTCAGTTTCTGTCAAGTATGTTTGTCAGAAAAGAGAGTACAGCTAGATGAAAAATTGCATTGCATAAGAATGTCAATTCAGTGAGGCAATGGCTCAAGTTATGCCTTGAAGTTTGACTCCCAACACTATGCTAGCGTGATTTATGACGAGAGAAAGCATATGCTTCAATTAGACCGAATCACCCGTACCAATGAGCATTTGCCTTCCATGACCAACTCCTGAGTACAGACCAAAACAAGAGCGACTCAGTCCAGAAGATGGTGTGACCTATAGGTATTTCTAGCAAACTTCTCCTCTGCTATACAAGTGCTTGTCTGCAGCGCACTATGAAGTACTTAGGATGCTTGAAGTTTTTGAAAAAGTATAACAGTAACATGTAAGGCAAAACTCTGGATGATTCAAGCTCGAAGATTAATGTAGGTTGCAAATGTCATTTTGGACTCCCACATGGACACATATAAGAGTCCATCTGCGCAAAAAAGTATAGGCTCTTGTCTAATAAAGAAGACCCAAGTTCAAATATATGTCTGATGCAGTTGTGGTCCACTGGTCCGTTAGCTTTATCCCTTATTATCCAAACAAAGCATAATTCAGCATCAAACTCAGACCCTGTGAAGGTTTACCAAGGTTAGTAGCACTTAGACCAATGAGTACTTTTTTCAGGTACTCTCACCGTGTTCTGCATTACCAAAAATCGCCACAAGAGCAGTTCCCGCCCTTAAAATGGTGGAACCTATTGGCATCTCTAACAACAAACTCTCTTCCGACTATTTCACTGATCATCTTCAGGGCCGTATGACAGTCCCCACAAACTCGAAGATTCTTCACCACCCGAATTATTGAGCCTGGAACCGACTTTATTAGCCCAAAGGCAACAGCCAGCCTCTCGCTATGTAACCAAAGTTGTTGTACTTTCTCTTGCTCATCTAAGTCGTGCATCACAGAGTTTGTATCTGGAACATAGCCTCTCTTCCTCATCTCCGCTCTCAACTTCTCAAGCAATTCAAGAATCACATTACTCATCTGATGTGGCACTTCCCCTGCACGAAACATCAAACTTTCCTTCCCAATCTCAATCCAACTGTATCCAGCCTCCTTCTTAATCTCCATATCAACCATCAATTTCCTAACCTTTGCAACAGAATCCCACTTCTGCAGAACAGCATAAACATTAGACAGCAGTATATATGTAGAAGGGTCTTTTGGCCTTAGGCCCAACAAATGATCGGCGAACCTCAGGCTCATATCCTTATTCCCGTGCTTCTTACATGCACTTAACAAAGCTCCCCAAGTAGCCTCATCAGGCTCACAAGGCATTGACTTAATAACATCTTCTGCCTCTTCTAGAAGCCCCGATCTGCTAAAAAGATCCAACAAACATGTATAGTGTTGCAGTGTAGGCCGAATCTTATACTCCCTAACCATCAAATCAAAAAGCTCACGCCCCTTTTCAACTAACCCCGAATGACTACAAGCGTAGAGTAAACCCACAAAAGTCACCTCATTTGGCTTTACTCTTGCACTAACCATCCTATCGAACAATTTCAACACCTCCTCTGCCCTCCCGTGCTGCGCCTCCCCAACAATCATCGTCGTCCAAGAAACAACATCTCTAACCAGAACCCCCTCAAACCACCTCCTTGCCGATAAAATATCACAGCACTTTGCGTACATATCCACAATAGAATTCCCAACAATCCCGCTCGCCTCATACCCAAGCACAACCACGATGCAATGCACCTGCCTNACAACTCCAACGCCTCGTTCTTCAATCCGCTAGTCGCATACCCGTTAACCATCGCGGTACAAGAAACGACGTTTCGCTCGCGAATCGTGTCGAACACGTTACGGGCGTCCCTAAGGGCGCCGAGTTTGGAGTACATTGAGACGAAGGAGGACTTGGCAACATCGTCGGGGTTGTAAGAGGAGAGAAGAAATTGGGCATGGGCTTGGTCTGGGGCCGAGGGGGAGGGAGGGGAGGAGGGAGCGAGGCGGCGAGGAGGGAGAAGAGGAAGTGGTCGAGGGGGAGAGGCGGAGGAAGCGGCGGAAGAGGGAGAGGGAGAGGAGGGTGGGAGGGGAGGAGAGCGGAGAGGAGGCGAGAGAAAAGGAAGGGGAGGAGAGGAGGGAAGACGGAGTTCGAGAGAAGGCGGCGGGAGTTTGAGGGGGAGTAGGAGGAGAGGAGATGGGAGAGGGTGGAGGGGTTGAGTGAAGGAGGTTGGATTTGAGGAGGTGGGCGTGGAGTTGGGAGCGAGGGAGGGTAAGAGCGGAGGAGGGAGAGGACGTGGTGATGAGGTTGCGCTCCATGGTGGACCGGCGATGATTATTACGTTCAAATGAATTTCCATTTTGCTTCGATATAAAAGGCTTATTTGACTTCGGCACGCCGACTCTTCAGAAAAAAATTTGTACTTGGATCAGTAGTAAAATAAAGTTTCACCCTCCTCTTCACTCTCAAATAAAGCGGTTAACATTAACTACGAGGCGCTAGCTGAATCGTTAAGCTGCTATCAGCAGTATTCTAAAGTTTCAGGTTGGATTCCTTTGAGGAGCATCTATAGGTTTTGGTACCAATGCTTCAAACGATGGTGGGGAATTTCCCTCATCAAACAATAACAATAATCATAACTTAGGATACAAATATGGTTTCTAACCATCCGGATATGGTTACAAACACGAACGAATATGTGATGAAATATCTAGACTCGTATCCAAAACATCAGAATATATGTTTTGGCATATAATTGTAATTGTTTTGGCATACAATTACAATTTTTTTAGTCCTTAAATTTAATAAATTTCTTCAGGCTAATTATACTAATCTAGAGGTTTAATCTTAGCTTTTTAGATGTACTAAACATGTTAATGACCTCTCTTGTATGATATGATTGTATATTTTTTATAATATTATTTGGCTTTCTCATATCCATTTTGTATCCTAATGTGTATCATCTAAACTATTGTTTTTCAAGAAAAAAAAATGTATATAAGCTGACAATCCATATTGCAAAATGCACTACCAAGCCTATGTCATGTGAGCTCTCCTGCTAGTTTCATCGATATAAGGTTCACATGGCAGTGGGTTGGCAGCCAAATTTTACAAAATGGTTGTCAGCTCATAGCCATTTTCTTTTTTTTTCAAATAATAATATTATCTGGATTTCCCATATACGTTTTCTATCCGGTTGTATAACTGCATACATATTCGCATGTATATCTGTATTTGTATTATGATTTTAGCGGATATGAATATGATTCTTCTTTACCAAGGCATATTTGTAATTGTATTCTTGATTTGATAAGCAGATGCGTATATGTTTAATATCATATCTAAACCGTTTGCACTCCTAGTTTTGCGAAATAGACAAAATTGAAGAAGGCTATGTCAGAAATGCTCCAAAGTTCAAGGGAGATGTGAACTCGGAAGTTGGGTGGTTATGTGAAATTAACCCAAATAAAACAATAGAAAGACCATTTGATCAAAAAAAGGAGATTTGTAACACGCTTGAATGATGCGAGCTATGGATTTGGCTTAATTTCACTTAAATACCCTATATTTTCTCCTACTTTGCACTTATATATCCTCACTTGTTTTCTCGTCGTCTTAATTTCACTTGAATACCGTATAGTTTTTCTTATTTTGCACTTATATACTCTCGTTTGTTTGTGCAGTTTTTAAAACTTTCATTTATATACCCTCTCTTATTTTTGTCAACACTTATATATCCTAAAAATTTTAAACTTGTACTTAAATGCTCTAAAGTTTTTAAAATTGACATTTAAATTCCCTAAAGTTCACTTGTTTTTTGCAACTCTTGTATATCCTGGATTTTTTGAATCTCATACTTAAATACTATAATTTTTTTAAAATTGACACTTAAATATCATAAAGTTTAAAAACTTGCACTTAAATATCCTCAAATTCGCATAAGTGAAGGTACTTAAGTGCAGTCTTATAAACTTTAAGATATTTAAGTGTAAGTTTTGAAATTTAAGTGCAAGTTTTAAAGTTCTAGGATATGCAAGCACTATCAAAACAAAAGTTTTATGTGTTGTCATAACCAAGTGTTTAAAACTCTTATATATATATATGAAATACACAGTAAAAAATGTAGTGTATTAAAGTTCAACTTAACCCTCTTTATCCTTAAGAGTTAAAAACCCATAAGAGGAGAAAATTTTAGTAAATTAGAATTTATAAAATAATAAAATTTTAGTAAATTAGAATTGGACAGGGCCGCGCATGCGCGTACCCCCTCAGCAACAAATTATGACGTCCACTCTCCCACTTGGGGAGATGGTAGCCCAGCGCACCCACAAAGTGCAATGTGGGCCACTAGACTAGGCCTGGGCCTTCATGATCACCCAAGGACCCCGTCCAGGTAAGTATGGATCATCGTCAGCCCATCACCCTGTTTTGTAGTATTATGAGCCCCTACGGTTTTCGTAGCTCGTCGATGTGGGACTAAACTGCCAGCTCCTTAGCGCTGCTAATTCGCCCCATCTAATGATAATTGTTACCTGCATCTCTGTGCTTCACAAGCATCTCTTTATACTGATTTTTTAAGCGCAGGTCTGCGCAGCTTTGATGGTTCAGAAACTTCTATATGATCATAGAGAGCCCAGATGATTTCCTTTTATTTATTTTTTAGATTTTTTTTTATCGATTTCTGTGATAGTTTAAACCAAAAGTCAAATTACCCCTCCAAAGCACAGTCCAAGAATGATAGCATAATAATCCTTTAAAAGTTTCAAGCCGTAAATATTGGTATGAATTAAGCATGTGTCGTAGGAACATCTTTAAGAGCAATAAGCCTAAAATATTCTTTTCAACAATATAAATATATATCTTTAGAGAAGATTAAAAGCGTCATTAAACAAAAGAACAGCACCTAAATTTTGATTACTAGTAATTGAGAGCTCTAACAAAGAGGACACAAACTAGAGAAAACGGATCATGCAAACTCAAGAGCAACTTTTTCACATGCTCCAACACTTCTGTTTATAATTTATTTTTTCTTATTTTTTATTTTTTTGACAAATTATCGATCTCATTCACACCTCATAGAGCTCTCATGCAAGATTGACATAAAGCACCTTCGGGGGAAAAAGCCTTCATTGTCCCATGAGCATAAAAGACCATTCACTTTCTGAAAGCAGATATGGACTTTTTAGGGCATGTATGGATTTCAATAGGGTTAAAGGAAGTTAACGGAGAGTAGGAGAGAGAATGGAAGGGATCCCTTCTCTTCCTCTTGATTACACCCTAATTTTGGGGGTAACAAATTTTATGTTATTCGGGGGTGAACCAAGGGGAAGTATGGTAAATAATTTCACCTCCTAAATGTTTCAAAATGAGGTGAATGGTTCCCCCTAACTTACCTTCTCTCTTATTCCCCTCAATCCAAACAAGCTCTTAATGCTTGGAAACACCACAACAACATACATCAGGAGGTGCAGTTGCAAAGGAAAATATTTGATGATTGAAACGCTTAAGGAGTTGGCAATGTGGGAAATGGTAAGATTGTCTTCCTCTTCCTCCCACACAAGAACTGATGCTCTCTCCAACCTCAACCCACCTGCCCTCCATTTCTTGAAAGCTACGTACCATTGATGACCGAGCAACTAGCTTCAAACAGTTTAAGAATCACAAAAAGATTTATATCTCCGTTAAACTTAAATGACTGTGTACAGGAGAAACCAAGAACCAAAACACAACTCAAAGGATCCAGTGATTGGTAAATATGAAATGAGCAAAGAAAGAACTTACGTTGTCTCTCGATCTTCTTTTGTAAGATGGTTGAGAAATTTGGGAACGGTTGCAGCATGAGTGATGTAAAAGAACTTACGTTGTCTCTCTTCTTACAATCCAGAATTAATAAACAAAAATTGGACATTTTTCTGCCATTTTGCTTGCATAATTATAAACTTATTAGAATGAAATGTAGCTGATGCAGACCATAGAGAAAACGTCATCACGAACAACACAAGGATGTAAAAGTAAAACCCATATTCATTCAGGTTTTCGCGGAAAATACTTAGTAGAAAAATCACTGAAAGTAGTCTTCCGTATGTTTAGCCTACAAGTGAGAATCAATTATACACATTATTATTATTGAATGTTAAAGAGAAAAGTTCACGACTCCTTAGCTAAATGGTAGAAGCTCGTTACAGTTAAAAAAAAAAATCATATATAGTCATACCTGCGAATGGTTAGACAAAATGAATGCGTTTTCACTTTGTCTCCTCTTTGCTCATGTAATACTCAATCTCTAAATTGCATATCAGTGAAACATTGAACCAAGTGCTAGTTGGCACAGGCTGAAATATGATCAGATACAATAATAAGGGTATTACGATATGCAAAATCTCAAAAAATTCCAGTTACAGGTTCTCCATGGATTCATAATTTAATGCTAATTGTCATTTGAGACTACAATGAAGAAGTCATCTTCACCGTTGTAAGCACAAGTATCTGAACATTACAACTATAGAGCCTAATAAGTGCAATGTGTTAATGTGGAAAAGTAAGTTAATGTTGTGCACAACGGAACCGAAGGCACACAATTACAGACAAGATTGGAACACTAATCAACAACCAAAACAAGTATCACAAATGCAAGACACCAGATTTACGTGGTTCGGCAAATCTGCCTACGTCCACGGGAGCGGCACAATATAATTTCTAATTATTAACAAGAAATTACAAATAAGAGAGAGTATCTCAAACTTGAGATCTCTCATACAAATAGCAATTGATTTTTAATCTAAAATCAATGCTCAACCACTCTCTCTTAAATACACAAAACCCCAATTAATATTCACCAAACCTCTTCTCCAATTAATGGAAACAGGACAAATGGGGTTCACAAATCTCAGAGAGATAACCCAAGCCTCAAATCGGAGAGAGAATAAATCTCCACCTCCTCTCAAAGAGGCGCTGCTCACGCTCTCTCTCTCTCTCTCTCTGCCCGCTCAAGCTCCGCCGCCTCTCCAATTCCTCTCTGCCGCTCAAGCTTCCCTGTGAACAGGGTTTCCCTATAACCTTTTATAGGGAAACCCTAGGACGAGCTCTCTCCAGCTGGGTCCAGCTGGATCCAACCACGCGACAGGCGAACTCTTGTGATCACGTTGAGCCCCGCACTCAAGACAGACGATCCATCAGGCAACTCCCTCGCCTACAGGCGGTTCGAGCTGCGCGTGCGCTGCCGGCCTGCTCGCCCGCCTGCACCTGCTCGCCTTTGCCTGTCAGGCTATAGTTGATTTGCCGTTTAGGTTGCAATGTGACAATAATGCGAAGATCTGATCGAATGCCAAGAGTGGGGGGGTTCTCACATGTATTTGATTG